TCATCTGAGAACATTTATAACCAGGCATAAGTAATCTGTTCAAGTGTTATAGTTCATAGCATATGCCACAGATAATGTACACTATGTAAAAAAGATAGCAATATTGTTGAATTCACATCGATACTTTGCAATTTATTTATCATGAGGCATGATATTTCATAAGATAAATGAACATGCTTGATCATTTCAACGAATTCATATCGTAGGCTAAACTTATAATCAACCATAATATTTTCAGATCGTAAAAGATATCCTGAATATTTCGATATTGTATCAGTTAATGCGTCCAAAATTTAGCTTTTCAAAAATGTTTTCATCAATGTTCACGCATTTCTGTCAACAAACATGGTAATCATGAACAATGAAAACCAAACAGTAGGCAGTTATATCATGAATCACATGAATAAGCGAAAATTATTACATAATCGTAACTAATTTAAACAGAATACGGTCATAGTGTGGTACGCGCTACTTATAAGTAGTATATGACGCCAGTAAAAAAACGTAATCTCTGGCAGCAGAAGATGAGGGAAGATCAAGAAAGGAAGAGTGGGAACACACAATGGAATTTGTATGAAACGCATGAACAGTGAAATGTCAGACACTGGATTGATGTTTTGCAACAGGAACAGTCCAGTTCGATATGATGGATTGATATTTTACAAATTAACGATTTATGATATGGTTTTTCTATTTTACCAATTAACTCTCTAATTTGGGAACAATACGATTCGGTTGCCCTTACCTGTGTTCTCCTTCACTACAATAGGACTAAACCGCTCTAATGGCTGATCATGGGCATACATTCCTTTTTATGACACAAAATTTTAACTATACCACTTATCTGTTTAGAAGCAGTTAGATAATCTACTCCGTCAGTATACATACGACAGCAAAATACTTTGAGTAATTAATTAATTTCATTAATAAACAGCAGTTTTTAGAGTCTGCGTTGAATTGGAAGTGGAGCTCACCATATTACTGGCTCGCAATGACTCCGCTGTTTACAGATGACCGAATATGCAATGAAATAAATCTTCCATTTCATTTCCATATATCCAAACTTAGGCGAACCATGTTTGTGCAACGATGGTCATAAGAAGCCATTTCATACAAACTTTCGCACAGGCAGACATGAGAATGAGTAGTGTGTCAACAAAAAGAGATGAAGGTGAATGAGCCAACTCAATGCAATGACGCACGATTAATTATTTATAGTCAGACAAAATAAACTAAATAAGTTGCACACACACACACACACTCAAATAAACACAACCAAGGTTATAAGCGCATTATTAACAAGGCAGAAAGATGTGTGACTACCAACTCGTGAATAATGTGGATTAATTATATTTGTCCGAAGGCTGGGACAAGCCCTGTGGGTTCAACATATTGGTACATATATTACGAATTTCAACTCTTCTGTATTTTGCACCAAGTAGATGTCCTTTAATCTTTGACTGTTGAATATTTCATTCAACCGAATCCGTATTTGGGTTTCCTATTACCGTCGTTGCACAAATGAGGTTAGTCTAATTGTAATAAATGGAAGTTAGATTTTCAATGCATATTTAATTGTTCGTGCTAATTGGTACTCTTGAAAAAATTGAAAGGAGGAACAAGAAGGCAGCAGTGAATGTCAGCCGAACAAGAGCAGAGAAAGTTACCGCACAAGCTGCATACACAGAAGCAAACAGGGAAGTGAAGAAGAGCATCAGAACTGACAAACGTAACTATGTGGAAGATCTAGCAATGACGGCGGAAAAGGCTGCAAGAGAAGGAAACATGAGACAATTGTACGAAACAACAAAGAAGCTCGCCGGGAACTATCGTAAACCAGAACGACCAGTCAAAAGCAAGGAAGGGAAAATAATCAGCAACACTGACGAACAGCGAAATAGGTGGGTAGAGCACTTTAAGGAACTATTGAATCGACCAGCTCCACTGAAACCACCCAACATCGAAGCAGCATCCAAGGACCTCCCAATTAATATTGGCGCACCTACGATTGAGGAGATCAGTATGGCCATCAGACAAATCAAGAACGGCAAAGCAGCAGGACCAGACAACATTCCAGCAGAGGCAATGAAAGCAGATGTAGAAGCAACCGCGAAAATATTTCACATCCTCTTCAAGAAGATTTGGGATGAGGAACAAGTACCATCAGACTGGAAGGAAGGATACCTCATCAAAATACCAAAGAAAGGCGATCTCAGCAAGTGTGAGAACTACAGAGGCATCACTCTTCTTTCAATACCAGGCAAAGTCTTCAACAGAGTATTGTTAAACAGAATGAAGGACTTCGTAGACGCCCAACTTCGAGATCAACAGGCCGGATTTCGTAAGGATCGATCGTGTACTGACCAAATTGCTACATTACGGATCATTGTGGAACAATCGATTGAATGGAACTCACCACTCTACATCAACTTCATCGACTACGAGAAAGCATTCGATAGGGTGGATAGGAAAACACTGTGGAGGCTTCTTCGACACTACGGTGTGCCTGAGAAAATAGTCAACATCATACGGAATTCTTATGATGGATTCAACTGCAAAATCGTACACGGAGGTCAGCTGACAAACTCGGTTGAGGTGAAGACCGGTGTGAGGCAAGGTTGCTTACTCTCACCCTTTCTCTTTCTCCTGGTCATCGACTGGATTATGAAGACGTCAACATCTGGAGGGAAGCACGGTATCAACTGGACAGTTAGGACGCAGCTGGACGATCTGGACTTCGCAGATGACCTGGCTCTTCTATCGCACACGCAACAACAAATGCAAGAGAAGACGACCAGTGTAGCAGCAGTAGGTCTCAACATACATAAAGGGAAAAGCGAAATTGCCCGATGCAACACAACATGCACCAACCAAATCACGCTTGATGGAGATGCTTTCGAGGACGTTAACAACTTTACATATCTGGGCAGCATCATCGACGAGAAAGGTGGATCGGATGCAGATGTGAGGGCGTGGATCGGCAAAGCGAGGGCTGCATTTCTACAGTTGAAAAATATCTGCAACTCCAAACAACTTTCAAACAAAACCGAAATCAGGATTTTCAATACAAATGTCAAGACAGTTCTACTGTATGGAGCGGAAACATGGAGAACTACGAAAGCCATCATCCAGAAGATACAAGTATTTATTAACAGCTGTCTATGCAAAATACTTCGTATTCGTTGGCCAGACACCATCAGCAACAACGAACTGTGGAAGAGAACAAGTCAGATTCCAGTGGAGGAGGAAATCAGGAAAGAATCGGTGGAAGTGGGATAGGACACACATTACGAAAGACACCTAACTGCGTCACGAGACAAGCCCTCACATGGAACCCTCAAGTCAAAAGGAAAAGAGGAAGGCCAAGGAACACACTACGCCGAGAAATAGAGAAAGATATGAGAGAAATGAACAAACATTGGACAGAACTGGAGAGGGAAGCCCAGGACAGAGTTGGTTGGAGAAAACTGGTGAGCGGCCTATGCTCCATTGGGGTTAACAGGAGTAAGTAAGTAAGTAATTCGAAGTCAGATTTCAGGCCGTTATAGTAATAATCCTTTATTCGATCTGCGCGAAGAAAACATTGCCAGTTATGTTGGTTATCCGTAGGAGAAATATCATAAACCCAAAGAAAACAAAATTCGATAGGAACATTATGCTATCAAGATTTCAATGTACTCTATTTCCGCCATCCAACAATTCTTCGTGGCATGTTAGGACTATATCAAGTGGTGTCCGTCAGGGCTGTCCACTGTCTCCATTCTTGTTTAACTTTGTCGTAGACATTAACAGTAAACTCGTGAAATTTTTCAGGGGTTGAACTTCTACCAGGAAATTCGCTTACTGACCTAAAATATGCCGATGACATACTTCTATCCGGCTAAGACGCTGACAAAATGCAGAGTCTGCTGACTACCTTAAGCAACAATGCAATTATGTTCAGGATGCGGTTTCCCCCCCCCCCCACCGCGAAATGCAAAATGTTGATTCAGGATTGTGTTGCATCGGCACCTGAACTAGTGATAAGGAGTGAAGTAGTCGAGCGTGTTGATCGCTTCACTTATCTGGGGAGTCTCATCAGTGCTGATGGCCTGGTGACTGACGAAATCTCAGCTCGGATACAGAAAGCTCGATTGGATTTTGCCAACCTGCGTCACTTATGGCGTAGGCGTGATATCCGTTCTCTAATCAAAGGACGAGTGTACTGTGCAGCAGTTCGCTCTGTTCTCCTATATGGCTGTGAAACATGGCCAGTGAGAGTAGAAGACATTCGTCGGTTACTGATTTTTGATCATAGGTGTCTTCGAAGCATTGCTCGTATACCGTGGGACAACCGAGTAAGCAATGCTGTCGTTAGGAAACGAGTACTAGGCAAGGATGGCAGATCAATTGATGAAGTGGTGAAACTTCATCAGTTGAGGTGGTTGGGACATGTGCTGCCTATGCCTAACCAACGATTGCCTCGAAGAGCTCTGTTTTTGTAGTAGGTTGGAAGAAAGCTAGGGGCGGCCAAACCAAAACATGGCAGAAATCCATGAAGTCATTGACGAGTGGACTGAGCCATGTCGGTAATTGTCGACTACCTGGTTGGGGTCCGCGAGATGATAATAATCGATGGTTAGAGACCTTGAATGACATGGCTCAAAATCGTTCGCAATGGCGCAAGTGCATCTATTCGTTGAGCTCTCTCAAATCCTAATCTTCTGGATTCTTCAACCCTTCTAGTTTTGCCTTTCTAAACTTATCTCACTGAATCATACTTCTTGAATAATATCTTCTAATCCTAACCTCTCCGATTACTTGTAATTCCCTTACTACCTCTACCACTATTGGATTTGAATTGACAATTATATCTCTGTGCTGATGTGGTATGGCAACATGAGCTGATGTACTTACGTACGAAGTTCTACGTTGCATCTGACTGACTGATTGAATGACAATTTACTTGATAGATTTGTTTAAAATATCAACATAAAACAGCGAAACCAAAAACGATCAAACAGTTGATATCATGATTTTTTTTTCCAACAAAACAAAGCAAAACAAAACATACAATTCAAAGAAGAATTCATCAAAACTTTATATTCATCATTTACAATAATACATAAACACAATACCACTAACACATAATCAATGCATATTTCTTCATTGTTGAAGACACACAACCACAATCACAACAAAACAAAGAGAGGGTGGGATTAGTGCGTGCAAAACCAATTCATACAATGCCATACCATAAATAGTAATTGTAAATGTAATTCAAAATAATGAATATATATATATTCAAGATGATGATTGTTTAATCTCTTCAATGATTGCTTGTACTTCATCTTTATTGAATAAATGATAATTGTCTTTAATGCTGACAGTTGCCATCTAAAATTAAAAGAAACAACACACATACAGAGAGGGAGAGAGAGTGAGAGTGAGAGTACACTTGTAGTGTGTCGATTCACTGCGTGTTCTTAAGCTCGGTAATTAGCTTGTCCAGAAAATCGTTACTAAATAGCGTCTGACGGTTTATAAATCAGAGGGTGAATACGTTTATTTGGGACACACCACAAAGCGAAACGGAGAAGCAGTGAATGAAACGAATGAAGCGATGTGAATTGGAGAAGGCTGTTGAGCCAACTCCTAGGATTACAATGCGAACGAATGGGCGAAGGAAGCGATGTGGAGAAGGCTGGTGAGCCAACTCCAAGAGATAGAGCATGACTAAGAATATATAGTCAGACCAAAAATGAGACAGGCATGTACACACATGAATAAAAGCGACGAATGATTGACAAGGTCAAAAGCAAGCGAGACAAGTCATGTGAGCGCATAGGGATATTAAGAGATTAACATTTAAGCGAAAAGGATGAGTAAGCGCGTAGGCGTAAGCAATGCTCAGTCGTACAAGCTCATACAAGCCAGATAATAAAAGATACCAATGGTATATATGGCTTGTTGCTATACGTATTAATCGAAAGGGCTTAACCAAATTAAATGTGGAGACACTACACACTAACCAAGTGATAGTCAATCAATCAATCAAAAAAACAGTACAGCTCTCTCATGAATAATAATCTATCAGCACTGTTATAATTAAAATGAAGGATACAGTTAATGATTGAAACATTCAACTACCTCAATTCATAACTAGGGTATAGGTTTGAATTCTGTTCCAATGAAGTAATTGAACATGTTGATCGGGTGTTAGTTATTAGAAGGGTTGTGAAGATTGGTAGGTTTCAGTAGTTGAGACATGTGTTACGTATGTCTAACCACCGACTGCCTCGACGAGCTTTGCTTTGTAGTGTAGGAATAAGTTGGGAGAAAGCTAGAGGTGGCCTAACCAAAACATGACAGAAATCCAGGAGGTGATCATTGACAAGTGGACTGAGTCATGTCGGTAATTGTCGACTACCTGGTTGGGGTCCGTAAGATGATAGTAATCGATGGTTAGAGACCCTGAGTGACATGGGTCAAAACCGTTTGCAATGGCGCAGGTGCATTCGTTCTTTGTGTTGTTTTAAATCCTAACTTTCTGAATTCCTCATCACCTTTATATTTTTCTTTTCAGTTCGTTTCACTAGATTCTACTTCTTAAATAATATCTTCTAACCCTAATCTCTCCGACTACTGCTAATACTTTTACCACTTCTACTACTATGGGATTTGAATTGGTAAGTACATCTCTCTGTGCTAATGTGGAAGGGCAACTTGAAGTGATGTATGTACGTACGAAGTCCTACGTTGCTGGTGATTGATTGAGGTTTCAGTGAAATAGTAAACTAGACAAAGTTGCACTAACATGGGGAACCTGGAAGCACTGGACGACTGTTTTGTCCTAGTATTGAATTGATCAGCTGTGCGCATCCATGACCTCATAAGTGGGAACCGAAGCCAGGACTTTCGATCTCACGCGTGAACGCTTAACCTCTTGGTCATTGAGGCGGCATTTAACAGTAACTTTATCGGAAGTTTGATCAACCCTGATGAATTGATTTGACATAGTTTCACCGTGAGTTATCAAGGTTAGCTTGGTGTTTGGTAAATGACATTAGCTGTGAAGTAGGTAAAATATCAACTTACTTACTGCCTGTCCATTTAAGGACTATGAGGTAGCTTGCAGACAGACAGACATATACAACACACAACTTTGTACATAAGTACATCAGTTCGGGTTGTCATACCACGTCAACACAGAGACGTAACTGTCAGTTCAAATCCAAGAGTGATAGGAGGTAGCTTGCACCATACTACTACTTTATGGTTATAAAACACAGAAATTAAAAGTAGGGAACAATCACAATTTATTGGGGTAAGATTGCTCGTTTATGTTGGGACTATTGGATGAACTATGTTGAGATTAGGTCACAGTGTAGTAGTGGATAATGACGGTGAATTGGCTGATGACGTAGTGAATCTCCATTGATCGAGATAGTTACAAGATGAATTATGTATTTCTGAAAATTGGCTACCTCAATGCGGCAATAGAAACAGGCTGGAAGGAATGAGTAGAGAGTGGCCAAAAATACATTGTATTCCTTAAAGCCCTTGACTTTTGGATAGAGCAATGTAAGTAGCTGCTGACTACCTAGTCGGTGTTTGTGCAATTATTGTAACCAATAGTTAGCGATGTTAGGTAATATGGTTCACAATCGATCGCAGTGGTATAGATGGGACTGACTCTGTTCTAAAATACTTTCACTTCCTATTCCTCGAAGCTTTGTTCTTCTTAAATCATATTCTTTATGTTTACTGTTCCCTATTACCATTGATACTATATTACTACTTTAACTACTCTGGTATTTATCATTTCGCTGTGCTGTTGATATGATGTGGTGACATTCTTCTATATTGCCTATAATTAACTAACTGGTTTGTTCCACTGATGTCTTCTTAAAAAAAATGATAACAGCCTAAAAAATTGTGTATATGAACTCGTATACTCACTCAACTAACGAATTATCATTTACCTAGATTAGATCACTGAGTCATGTGATTATTATCTATGTACACATGATGTGTGTATAACAATGCATGTAACAATTTATTATAGCGCCTTAAATACTGACATACTGCTGATTGACGATATTGATTGGAAACTGATATGACTTAACTAGACTGGAGAGTTTATTTAGCGATCATACTAAAATTACGGACGCAACACCCACTGAACAAACTACTAAAGTTTGAATATAAGGTGAGGTGACTACTCAAAGTGGAGGAGTTACATAAGAGTTTGACTAGGCACCAAGTTACATAAAAATAATAAAAGTTATTAATAAGTTCAAGCAAGAGCTTACTTCTACATTGGTTGAATCAAGTTTCTCCTCCATAACTTGTTTTAAAATTGATAAAGCGTGTTTACAACCTTCATGCAATGTCATATTCTATATATATATATATACATTTGAAAAAATAATTGAAAACCAAATGTTTATTGCTGTGCATATATACACACATAAATATAATTATTAATAGATACAGTAAAAGGATATTAATTACCTAGGAATGAAAAATTCCAACGTACAAACTCGCATACTCGACTTCGAGCTATACTTGTTTCCTATAAGTCTCAGTAGCAGCACTACAACACTTAAAGACTCCCCGGTGTTCACCCAGAGTAAATGATCGATCGACTTGTCATGAATTCACTAAAATTGAAAATGATGGAGGCTGGTCTAAAGATAGGGAAGTTTTTCGGATATCTGAAGGTTCTAGAATTGGTACCATCAAAAGTGTGGAGAGCTTCTTGGCGAAGAATCCTCAACTAAGTACCTTCCATCCTTCATTTTCAATGGTTTTATAACTGTCATTATTTTCTAACGAGAACTATATCAAAAAGACTAATATCGATGAATGCTTTAACTTACTAGTAAATTAGGCGCTGTATAGTTTTTAATTATATTTATCTTATCTCTATTTCCATTAGATTAAAAAAATGGTCAACTGATCAATATTTATGATAATCATCATTCAATTTGAAATTATTAGTGTAAGTAAGAAGGCAGTCAATTGAGTCTAGTGAACAGACATTATCTGTCAATCACAACACATTCTCTTACATCATTATTCGTCACATGAATAACTGGAGCACTTCGCAGATGATGTGGCTCTTCTATCGTACACGCAACAAATTCAAGAGAAGACGACCAGTGTAGCAGCAGCCTCTGCAGCAGTAGATCTCAATATACATAAAGGAAAGAGCAAAATTCTCCGATGCAACACAACATGCACCAACCAAATCACTCTTGATGGAGGTGCCTTGGAGGACGTTAACACCTTTACATATCTGGGCAGCATCATCGACGAGAAAGGTGGATCCGATGCAGATGTGAGGGCATGGATCGGCAAAGCGAGGGCTGCATTTCTACAATTGAAAAATATCTGGAACTCCAAACAACTTTCAACTAAAAGCAAAATCAGGATTTTCAATACAAATGTCAAGACAGTTCTACTGTATGGAGCGGAAACATGGAGAACTACAAAAGCCATCATCCAGAAGATACAAGTGTTTATGAATAGTTGTCTACGCAAAATACTTCGTATTCGTTGGCCAGATACCATCAGCAACAACGAACTGTGGGAGAGAACAAACCAGATTTCAGTGGATGAGGAAATCAGGAAGAAGCGGTGGAGTTGGTGGATAGGACACACATTACGAAAGGCACCTAACTGCGTCACGAGACAAGCCCTCACATGGAACCCTCAAGGCAAAAGGAAAAGAGGAAGCCCAAGGAACACACTACGCCGAGAAATAGAGAAAGATATGAAAGGAATGAACAAACATTGGACAGAACTGTAAAGGGAACCCCAGGACAGAGTTGGTTGGAGAAAACTGGTGGGCGGCCTATGCTTCATTGGGGGTAACAGGCGTCAGTAAGTAAGTAAGTAAGTAATAACTGGAGCGATCAAACTGTCTTTTAGTCTATGAGCCATTGATCTAAACCATAACACTAAACCAATAAATAAGTTAAGAGAGTTTATGAAAGTGTACCTACCTACAAAGTTAGCACACACTCTTATCTATCTATCTATCTATCACAACGTAAACACACTGTTTTTTTTTCTCCAAACATGTGAGTGAATAGTACAAAATTGTGAAAAAAAAAAACAAAACAGAAATCAACATTGTACAATCATATTCATTATCTTGATCGTTTGGTAATATAATGTGTTGTTTACATTATATGCATTCAATATGAATCCATTTCGATTAGATCATATGAAGAAGAATGCATTTAGATGATGCAATCAATATTAGTTTAGATATATATATGCACAACAACAGGAGTATCCTCTTTTCGTCTTTTTTCTTATCTTATTGGTAACATGAACCACAGGGAATTTATTATAAATAGGTACGGATGTTTGTTGTTAATTGTTCTTGTGTTCTTTGTTTTCGGTAATTACGATCAATTATAATTATATATATCATTACAATTATCATTATTATTATTATTATTACTATTATTAATATTATTATTATTTATAGTCATTCATTCACTAACAATTAGTATAAGGAAATAACTAATTATTATGCATAGTAGTGACACATGTGATTCAACCCATATATATAACAGCGGCTATCTGTATACCAAATACAGAGAAGCGTAATGCTTATTAAACCTAAAAAGAAACCCAGCCTTGAACAAAGAGCGACAAGATAGTAATCTTCAAGTTGTGTTGTGCCGATTTTTTTTTTTTAAATCTTACATTAAAAAAAAAGTATTAGAAAATTAACATTTTCTCTATTTCATTTGCACGATAAAAAAATAGGCAAAATGGACGACACAAAGAAATGTTAGATATGAAGAAGAAAACCAAACACACACACATACACACACACGCACACACACATTATTTCGATATCAGCTGAACAATTCTCCAGAAAAAAAAATAAAACATGATCTTGATATTATTGTGCAATAATAATTGGAATGTTGGGTAGGTAGGTAGGTTTATGTTAAGAAAACTGTTTGGTTTTTTTCTAATTTGTGATCTACAACAATCTCTTTTTTCAAAACAGTAATGCAAAATGCATTAGGAATTTCGGTGTGATTGAAGATTGAAGATTTGATGTAGTTGAGATTTCGCCTTAACTTGCACAATAAAAGTTATCTTTTTTTTTTCCCTTGAACATGATCGAAACATTTTACTACTTACAAGTAGATATTATAATACGATGAACTGAATTCAGAATATTTATCAACTAAGGTTGGTTAGATTTTATTTTTAAGTCTACTGAATAAAACATGAATACTAATTGGAAGTTATTTTCAGTCAGTCAATTACAACATAGAACATCTATGTACGTACGTCAGTTCAAGTTGCCATAGAGACGCCAATGTCAGCGCAAATTCCATAGCGCGAGGCTTGCAGATACACGAAGAGTAAATCGAGCTGCTTCTTTATCTTGACATGGTGAGGTCAAGTGAATGATGCCACTCGGATCCTGTATGCGCGTTTCCGAGACGAAGAATACATCGATGGTGCGAGATTCGAAAGTACTAGCTAATAAAGCCTGTTGCCCTATTTTACACAATGTTCGTACATTAAAAGCTCTAACATGTAGTTTAAAATGGGGTTTCAAGAGACTAGGAATAATGTCTCATGGACTCGAAACGTTTGGAGCATAGGTGTGGAATGACAAAGCAATATGAGAAGAGTTAGTCGTGAAGATAAAGGGGATGTTAGGGGGTGCAGGAAGGATTTGATTGTTTCCAATTTGGTCTCGTGTGCTGTTACGGGTATGAGGGTTGGTGTCGCTCTCTGGCTGCCCACACCGTGGAAGGGTGTTTCTTGAGGACCTGAAAATGAAAATAAATTATCGTTGGTCTTAGATATGAAGGAGCGTGACCGCAGAGTCCAAGGGACAACTGCTTGAAGCCGGTCACGTACGACCTCTTTATGAGAAGTTTTTGAAGTATTAGCTCCGTTCTTGTTTACAAGGCCTTATAGCCGGAGATGGGAATCCGTGAGGTAGGGGAGGTGTGACATTTTTATGGTCGACCTTTTCTAACCCTTCCTTCCTTGTGAGAAGGCAGCTTCGCTGCAGATGTTGGTTGTCCGAGGGAAACACCTTACTGCTGTCACACCCCTCTGTAGTTAGCAGTACGACTTCGCCCTCATACCTCGAGTAGCTGCTTTTATTCTCATCGATCTGTCTAGCGTAGTAGAACGTACAGGAACAAATTTTCCAGCCAATATAGCTCGGTTGAGTCATCACGACAGGCAAGCCCGATCACCACGTCAAGGTAACAGCTAAGGTCGGGGGGGGGGCAGTTATTCTGGAATCTTTTGAAATATCGAAAGTAATTGTAACGATATAATTAGTTCGATCATTTTTGGTACAGGAACCAATATTGAAAGTAAATTTTTGTTTGTATCAGTATCACTTAAATATTTCATTTATATTCAATAAAACAAGAATGTTGACAGTTTAGAAAACTGTCCAAGCAGTTAATGTGATTATGTGTCAAGTATAGAGTTGTGGAAATCGTTGAGTTTTCAGTGAAATCATGAATCATCCACGGTTAGAATACCATTGAAAAACGTGGAAGAAGTGGATGGCTGGTAATTCCTAGTATGGGACTCATCAACAGTGCGCAGCTATGATACCGCTAGCAGATATCAAAACCAAGACCTACGGGCTTGCACAAGAACGCTTGAACTGTTGACCACTGACTGAGCCAGTATCCAAAGATATTATTATCTAACTTCAACCAATCTACGATATTAAGCGATCATTTCGTATAATTTTCTTCAGTTACTATTTTGATTCTATTTCCCAACAGTTCGCTGATATCATTCTAAACATCATATATCATCGTTTGTATAAAGTCACAATTTTGTTATTCGAAACAGCATTTGTTGACTGACGGTTTAAATTCTCCAGTACTTGAACTTTCAACAATTACCTTCTATATTCAAATCTCTATTCATCAACTTTGGCTTCTAACAATATCAAAATTGCACACATTACTAAGTGTAGCTCGATAATTGTTGGGGATGTTAGACACCCAGGAATCGCTTGATAAATATCTTTCTTTTGAATTTATTTCATGGACCGATCAGTTGACTTTGAGATCACATTTCCCACTAGGAAAATCCTTGGTTGTGATTGATTACTGTGTCATTTTAGTGTGCTATTTTTGTGTGACTGTCTCAAGGACGTCTCTGTAGAGTATAAATAAACGCGATTTGAGTGCTTGGATTCATTGTGTGTGCTTGCTGGATGTTTTTAGAATACAATTTCTACACTATATCAAGACTTCTTACTGATTTAATTTGGTCAAGGGATCACAGTAGCCTACCTGGACGCTGATGCATTGTAGTGTTCTCGTTATTCGACTAAGGTGAACTCGTAATGTGGTGCGAGCTACTTGTAAGTAGTATATGACGTGAGTGTCAACGTAATGTCTGGCAGCAGAAGATGGGGGAAGATCAAGAAATTAAGAGTTAGAACACAATGGAATTTGTATGAAACGCATGAATAGTGACAATGGATTGATGTTTTGCAACAGGAACAGTCCAGTTCGATATGATGAACTGATACTTTGCAAATTAACGATTCACGATATGGTTTTCCTATTTTACTGAGTAACTCTGTAATTTTCGTTAAATAAAATCCGGTTGCCCACCTGTGTTCTCGTTCACTACAGTAATAGTTCAAGCATACCTAGAGTCGAGAGTAACAATAATCCTGAATTAGGCGAGTCTACAATGAGTCGAAAAAAATAATCATTTGAACAGTCTCATTTTCTTTTAAAACAAAAAACAACAAAATAATTCACCTTATGATAGATTTCTTGTAAAGCTTGTTGTGCACCTTCAGAACCAGAACCAATTGCTTTAGCTTCATATCGAATATACGTTCCACTTGGATCCATATGATATAATTGTGGACCACGTTCATCAACACCAGCAAATAATAAGGCAACACCAAATGGACGACTCTTTTGTAATCAGTAAAAAAAATTAGGCAGATTATAGTTGTTACAAACAAGCAGTGATATAAGTAGTATGTATGTAGCATGATTGTGAAATAAAATTACTTGAGAAAATTTTTTTATCGCACAAAAAACAATGCTAAGCAGATGATATAAACTTTCACATTTTAAGCCTTAAAAGATGGGTATACGGTGGTTTTTTGGTATTGTTCAAACTGGTATGTACAAGATTTATGATAAACTAGTTAGTTCACAATGAGAATTATCAAGTGTAGATGGGCTAATAGTAATTCATGACCATAAAATCAACTAAAAATAAGAAATAATTGCTGCATGAGTGTTTAAGACACAGGACTAAACGATGTCTATTAGTTCATTATTTAGATTAAATATTCAATAGTCAGAAAGATTGATAACTTATGTATACAACGCGCTGCCATATAGGATTGCATCTTTTAATGTTGTTCTATTTCCATATGAATTAGATCACTAGGTTAAAAAGACTCACGGAGTGGCCCCCCTTAAGGAATCCATCTGCTTTAGTTTGGACATCCGAGCAGTATTGTAGATTAGATAAATTCATTGATTTTTGTTGCGCATAAATATCTAGGTGCCTCTTTGTAGTAGTAATTTATATGTCAGTCAGTCAGATGCAACGTAGAACTTCGTACGTAAGTACACATCAGTTCATGTTGTTATACCACACATCAGCACAGAGATGTAATTGTCAATCATATGACATTAATACTACTACTCTGCTGAGCAAACTGAAGAACTAGGTAATATAAAATTCAATCTGACAATCTGTTCGTTTAAATACAATGAGTATTTTGATATTCAAGTTGTTCAATTATGAATTGGATGGATTAGTGTAAGTATCCTATTTGGAGAACTTTAAAAATTGTAGTGAATACGAAGATTTTTACAATTTATTTGTACTATGCTCAACTTTACACTTTTTTTCTTAGAAGCATTAGGACAACGAAAAAAAATCCATCCATTGCTCCTGTATTCTTTATACAAAATCCACATGTCCTTAAACACTGAAAAGATATTGGTTAAATATAACTCAGAGTAATTGAAAAACCTACTAAAACTATAATATTTACTATAATACATCAAGTTGCAGACGTATGACTCATTTCGACTTCGTTTATCATATTCAACAAACAAATACCTCTGTCAGAGTATATAGATGGTTGACCTAACTTAAACACAAGTCATAATTACGAGGTACATATGGCTTTCTGTGACTGTCCAGAAAACAAAGAAATATCACTTGCCTACTTACAAAATAGATAGTAGTCAAAGTATGTTCAGAAAATTGATGCTGCCGTAGATCATTAGTGAAGTGTTCAACTATCAGAATGCTGACTTATATTCACATTGGTTAAAATGATTCAATATTATCGAAGCAGTCCATGAAGTAATGAAACTTCTAGCATTATTAAATATAAACACACTTTTACTGATCACTTTCAGTAAAAGTATAATTACGTTGGTAATAATCATCGGTAGAAAATGGAACATGGGGAGAAAAATTTAATTAGGATTCTGGGATAAATTTGAGGTGTAAGTCATAGTTATTTATATGTAACTTAACAATCTTCACAACCCCGTAATGCGATTGCACGTGCTCACTAGTGACTAGCTCCGTGAGGAATCTTCGAATTCTAGTAGGAAGTCGTGATCAACGAAGTTCAACCTGTTTGGGTGTAGACACTGACTACAGAAGACAGTATATAAGGTTGAGCAAGACCGTTAATTGATCAAAGTTAGACATTAACACCATTATATAACGACCCAGTGGTTCAGAGGTTAGGCGTTCGCACACAAGACCGAAGATCCTGGGTTCGAATCCTGCGAGATGCGGGAGTTGTGGATGCGCACTGATGAGGAGTCCCATACCAGGACGAAACGGCCGTTCAGTGCTTCCAGGATTTAATGGTGTTCTAACATTGATCAATTCATGATTTCAAACGTGAAACTTAAAAATCTTCACAACCCCGTAATGCAAAGACAAGATTGTCATATTTAAGATCATTTCTTGGTCAAATGATGATGATTAAAACAATAAGCAGAAATGATTGATGATTTTGAAACTTTAAACGAAATATTGACACATTGAAGTTTATTTTCATATTCTTCTGGTGAATAAGTCTCTTTATGATAAACAAAATTACTAATCAATGCTTAGATTGACGTAAGTTTGATTAGAACGCCATCCTTTCTAGTTACGTTACTAGACCGATTGAATTGTATGGTGAATTTTGAAAAACATTCTATTATGCTCGTAAATTGATATGCTTGAAATTATCACGAGTTCACCTTAGTCCGTAAATGAGAACGAAGACAAACGATCCAATGACACAATAGGCTACTCTAATCTGAACGTCCCAAGGCGCCACTATTTAGGGGGAGAAGTCTTGACAAGATGTAGGTGTATTTTACAATAACCCAGTAAATATGAGGTTTGACAAACACACAAATTGAGTTTATTTATACATCATAGAAACGTCCTTGGGAGAGCCATAAAAATAGTCTACTAAAATAATGCATCAACCAGTGACAGTCAAGGATTTTCCTGGTGGGAAATGTAATCTCAAGGTCAACTGACCAGCCTAGGCGCAAAAGCATAAAACCTAAAATTAGGACCTTTTCCAAGTGAGTTCTGGGAATCTAATGTGTGTAACACATTTTTAAAAAAAACTACAAGATTATCAACACCAAGTCTGTTTGCTTACCATTGCTCCAGACTCCATATCGTCATCACCAAATGCTAAGGCTAAATTACTGACAGCTTTAGTCACATCCTCAATGGTCATTTTTTCATTGTACACGAACCAATGATGAGCTGCTTCTGTACGTGCACGTTCAATCAGAGTTCTTGCATCAGCAACAAGGCCACTAACAGCGCATGCTATCATATGGAGGGATGAAAATATATAAGGATTTCACAGAAAGATTAGTTGAGTAGTAGAGTGATGATACGAAATCTGGAATTACAACTTATTAGGGGGAGAAAATTAGGTTGGAATTCTGTTAGAGTAAATTATCCAATGTGAATGCAATTCAGCAAATTTCAACACTCTTTTTTTCGACATTTTGAATTAACAACAAGTCATTCAGCGTAAATATCTTCAATGTATTTTGACTGTTTTATACTGGGTGAACATCAGAACGCTTCATTTGTGAATATGATGTTTTTACTTTAGTTAGCAAGGCAAAGAAAAGAAGATGATAGTTTTGATTACGGTATTGGAGTAGGATTAATGAGATTACTAGCATAGTAGTGCATGCACGTATGAATAGACGATGAGGATGGGATTTCGGAGCAAAGAACAAGAAAAACTATTTAAAATTCATATCGACCAAAGATAAGGTTGATGAAAAATAGATCCTACCAAACTAGAATTATCACTGGAGTATTAGGTAAAACGGATTCAGCCGGTAACAATTCATTATTCAATACGCGACATAGATGGATGTATCAAGTCAATAAGGAACGAAACTGAAAGTTTTTAACTGATATTAAGATTGTCAATCACGAAGAATTCCAGTGAAACACCATTTCGAAGACGTCATACTTGTTTGCAGCTCATAGTTATAAATATTAGAATGCTACAGAGTAGTTTGGATAGAAATCCGAACATGACAATAAACTACAAGGCAAATAGGAAACAGATATTAGTCAATCGCTAAGTCAGTTACAACGTAGAACTTCGTACGTAAGTACAGCAGTTCAAGTTGCCAAACCACATTAGCACAGAGATATGATTGTCAATTCAAATCCCATAGTAGTAGAGGTAGTAAAAGTATTAGAAGTAATCGGAGGGATTAGGGTTCGAAGATGTTATTTAAGAAGTATAATTCAAAGAAACAAATTTAAAAAGAGTGAGATAAAGGTGATGAATTCAGGTTAGGATTTCATAAAACACAAAGAGTAAATGTACCTGCGCCATTGCAAACGGTTTTCAGCCATGTCATTCAGGGTCTCTAATCATCGATTATTATCATCTCGCGGACCCCAAACAGGTTAGCGACACCTACCGACATGACTCAGTCCACATGTTAGTGAATTTATGGATTTGTGCGATGTTTTGGTTTGGTCTTCCCTAGCTTTCGTCCAACCTATTGCTGTATCGTAAAACAGCTCGACGAGGCAGTCGGTGGTTAGGCATATGTAACACACGTCCTAACCACCTCCACTGATGAAGCTTCATTACTTCATCTATTGACCTGCCATCCTTAACTAGCACCCGTTTCCTAACACTAGCATTGCTTACTCGGTTGTCCCACGATACATGAGCAATGCCTCGAAGATAACTATGATCTAAAACCAGTAACCTACGAATATCTTCTACTCTTACCCGCCATGTTTCGTATCCATATAGGAGAACGCAGTGAAATGCTGCACAGTGCATTCGTCTATTGGTTAGCAAACGGATATCTCGCCAACGCCATAAATGACGCAAGTCGGCTAAAGCCAAATGAGCCTTCTGTATCCGTGCTGAGATTTTGACAGTCGCAAGGCTATCAGCGATGATGAAACTCCCAAGATAAGTGGAGCGGTTGACATGCCTGACTACTTCACTCCCTATCACTAGTTTAGGTACTAATGAAATCCAATCTTGAAGCAACATTTTGCATTTCGAGGGTGAGAACCGCATCCCGAGCATGCTTGCATTGTTGCTCAGGGTAGTCAGAAGACTCTGCATTTTGTCAGAGTCTCCACCGAACAGAACTATGATATCGGCATATTCTAGGTCAATAAGCTATTTAACTGGTAGAAGGTCTGCTCCTGAAAATTCAGACGAGGATAAGGTTACATCTAGCAGCATGTCTATGATAAAATTAAACAAGAATGGAGAGAGTGGATATCCCTGGCGGACACCACTTGAAGTAACGAATTCCGAAGACAGTTTGCCATAAGCCCTCACCCGACCAGTAGTCTTAGAGTAGAGAGCTTGTATAAGGTTAATGTACTTCTTTGGTACATCTTTTACTGACAGACACTGCCACAGAACCTCACGATCAACTGCGTCAAATGCCGCCTTCAGATCCACTAAAACAACTATTGTAGGACGCCTAGATGTGTGTCCGTGTTCCAGAACCTGTCGTAGAGTGAAGATGTGGTCTATAGATCCACGTCCAGGTCTGAAAGCAGCCTGGTTTTCTCACGTCTGCTTTTCACGAGCTCTATTTAGGCGTCTAAGGATTATCGGGGCTAACAATTTAGAAACTATATTAGTTAAACTGATTCCCCTGTGAGTGTCACAAGAAGACTTTTGTCCTTTCTTGTAAATTGGGACAACTAGGGATTGAGTCCAGTCGGAAGGGATTGTGTCCAGTTCCTAGATTCTACCTAAGATTTCAGTCAATTTAGTTGCTAAAGCTGGACCTAAATCCTTAAATTCTCAGGAGTTAGCCTATCAGGACCTGCTGCTCTACTTCGCTTCAGATTTCCTATAGCTTTCTCAACTTCATAAAGACTAGGAGGTCTTACATTGATTTGCTATTCAGGATAAGTGCGGTTCGTGGGCAACCGAAGTGTGGCTGAAGGCCAGTTGAACTGATCCCTAATGTTCTGCCCATCGATCCAATCTCCTGGATTGAGAATGGATAATAAGTCCATCCTTCCCTGAGATAGTTTCGCTAACAGATAGATTCCTAACACCGGGTTCCTTTATAAGGTGGAACAACTGTCTACTGTTGCCTATCGCCGTTGCCTTTTCCATCTCTCCCGTTTTCGCCACCCACCACTGTTTCCGATCATTCTGTAGGCTTTTTATCAGCCTGCGGCTAAGCTGACTCCGCTCCTCATCGCATTTAGAGCCAGGTTGGATGAGTTTTCGAGCATCCATCAGTTCGGTAGATGCTACTGAAATCCACGGCTTCTCCCTAATCTTGTGGTTTACCTTACAAGCAGATATCACTGCTGTTTCCACAGCCTTTTTGACATCATTCCAAGCTGCCTCAGGGTGGGTATCACTTACTACATGGCTGTCTAATTGTTTTTCTAGTTGTTCCTGAAATATATTCTTAGCTATGCTATCATTAAGTAGAGCCCTAACATGTTTCCTTGCGATATTTTTCTTGCGTCCAGTAAGGCGCAAACAAATACGCGCTCGCACTGGAGCATGGTCTGAGTCTTAACAAGTGCTCCAGAATGAGCCGCAGTCTTCAACAGAACCTCTGAACATATGGCTTATAGCGATGTGATCTAGTTGAGTCCATCTTTGGGTCGGCTTTGGGGGGCGCCAGGTAAAAGCGTGTTTTACCTTATGCTTGAAGTTAGTGTTTGCTAGGAATAGGCGGTTATCTGAGCATAGCACGCAACATACATCGATCACCCGGGATTCCAGAGTTCTAGCTAATGAAGCCTGTTGCCCTATTTGGCATAGAGTCCAAACATTAAAAGCTCCTATATGTAATTTAGTATAGGGTTTCGAGAGATCGAGTGATAATGTTTCGTGAGCTCATACCGTTTGCTTCAGTGGCGTCAGGTGATAAACGAGGAGGGTTGTTTGAGGAGATAAGAGAGTTATTAAGAGGAGTAGAAGGGGTTTGATTGTGGCCGATTTGGTCTTGTGTGCTTTTAAGGGTATGAGGGTG